AGAAAGTCTTGGCTGTGTTAGAAGGGGAGGTTTGAAAATACTGCAGGCAAGATATCTACATGTTTTGCCAGCTGTTTTAAGATATACACCAATGAACAAAATGCATACGTAAATGGTGATTTTTTATATTTTTTACAATTTTTGTGTTTAGATAGTGGAGTGTCTCTTTAAGGAAGTCTGTTTTTTTCCTTTCGCTCAGAATAGAGTTAGCAAGACTATTTAATGGCTGGAGGAGACAGTGAGTCATATAACAGCTCGTTTTTTTAGCACTCTCATGCCAATCCATTTGTGGGAGTTTGATAAAAAAAAAAAGTAGCAAGCCTGGAAATTAAATCATCTCCAACACAGATTAAAGGGACACTGCATTTTTAATACACAGGGTGAGGCAAAAGCTATATGTTATAAGGATATAACTAGTAGTGAAATGAACAAAAAATCACTTAGTACCTTACATAGATGTGTGGGTAATATATTATGTGATCTGCCCAATATAATGTTTTAGAATCTCATAATGGATGGATGGTGACATCATCTGTGCAGTTATTCCCCACAATTATTTATATATGACAACAGTGCCTATTGGGAGCCCTACTGGTGCACTACAAATTAACTTCTACACTACCTTAACACTAACACTAACCATAACAAAATACTATGTAGTGTAAAATATTAATAAAGTGGTCTGGGTGCAGTGGTCCTGTCGTTTTAACCATGCAATGCTAAACACTGCAATTTGGAAGAAACTGCTGCGTTTGCATTGCGGGTTCAAACACACCTCCAGTAGCTGTCTTCACTAGAGGAGCTTCTGCTGCACTGACTGATGTGCGCACATACATAAGTTTCCAATACTCCTCTATGCATTAGATTGGCCATTGGCTTGACAGCTGGATGATGTCATGGAAAATGAGCAAATGCCAGCGCTGAGGTAGTTTTGCTGTTGGAATAATGGTAAGTAAAAATATTTCCCTTTTTAGGTTTTTACTGGAAATGAAGGGGGGATATGGGGGAAGGGGGCACCTAAAACAAACAGGTTTGTATTCATTTCACTCTAGTGTTCCTTTAAAGAAACACTATAGGGTCAGGAACACAAACATTTATTCCTGACCCTATAGTGTTAAAACCATCATCTAGTGTGCCCTCCTCCCTAAATAAAGTAAAATCATACTTGTATTCAAGTTTGTAGCTGCTGGCTCTGCCCCTGCCTGCTGACATAATCAGAAGTGATTCTCTGAGCTGATCACAATGCTTCCCCATAAGATTGGCTGAGAATATCAAGGAGGCAGAACCAGCACAAGTCAAATACAGCCCTGGCCAATCAGCATCTCCTCATAGAGATGAATTGAATCAATGCATCTCTATGAGGAAAGTTCAGTGTCTGCATGCAGAGGGTGGAGACACTAAATGGCAGTGCTGCTTACTCTGCAGCACTGCCCCAGGAAGCACCTCTAGCAGCCATCTGAGAAATGGTTAATTGAGTTATTACTAGGCTGTAATGCAATAAGCTGTAGTTGTTCTGGTGACTATAGTGTCCCTTTAAGATGAGTGTGTGTGTGTGTGTGTATGTGTTACACAAACACACACTGTATATACCATATATTGCAAATTTAACTGATTTTATTTGTCTCAATTCTCCTGCAGCCGAATAGATCCCTATTTTTTATTTTCAATTCTACGAGATTCATTTAAAAATTGCTCAACCACATAGCAACTCAATATTCCTGCAAAAAATACTGTTAATGTAGAGTAGATTTTCTTTTAGTTTTATGTTTTTTTAGGGGGTTGGGTATCCTTACAGGGTTTAGGGGAGTTTGGGTGAGCATTAGGGTGATTTAGGATCAGAGAACCCTAGCATTTTAGGTGCAATTCACAAGGTCTGTATAGGGGAAATGTAACAACGAATGAAGGCACTTTGAGTGCAGTTCAGTTGCAGATTGGATGTTTGTGAATAGCCAGATGTTTGTGAATTGCAGTTGAATAAAAAGTGAATATTTGGTTAAAGTGCGTGTTGGTAAAATTGAATGTGTTCTTTTTCCCCTCATAGAGTCCAAGAGTTACGTGATGCAGCAGCATCTTTGGAGATAGAGAAAGAAAGTCTAATAGAAAAAATCCACAGTGTTCAGAACAGCCAGGATATGAGGAACATCAGTGATGGTAAGGAGCTGCTTCATACTACTCATATAAACCCTGGGGGGGTAAAAACAAAATTGATGGATTATGGTAATGTAATCCCTGGTTTAGCCGTTTTCCTACAGTGCCACCCTCCTTTGCACCCCCATGGTGCCGAAGGTGTTAACACCCCTTCAGTCACTTACCAGAATCCAGCGCCGATGTCCCTCAGCGCTGGGTCAGGCTCTGCGGGGGAGATCTAATGTGCATGTGCGGCAATGGCCGTGCTCGCATTAGAATCTCCCTATAGGAGAGCATTATTCCTATGTTTTCCCATGGAGAAAAATCTGACACTGGAGGTCCTCATGCAGAGCGTGAGGACATCCAACCCCAGATAATGGAAAAGTCGGTTTCAAATCAGGAAGCCCTCTAGTGGCTGTAGTTATTTCTCAATAACTGCAATAAGTACTATTACAGGGTTAAGGGTCATGGGACATTACACCCAGACCACTTCAATGAGCTGAATTGGTCTGGGTGCCTACAGTGTCTCTTTAAAGTTACCATGTACAATATGTGCAACTGCTTTTATTTAATATTTTAACAATTCATAGATTACTCCATTCTTCGAACTTTGCTCTGACATCACCAGGCTCTTCAGTGACTCTGCTACCAATTATACCTGTGACATAAATTGGGATCAGCATAAGTTATGGATTATTATATGTCAGATAATGGTTACAACACTAATTACAAGTTATATTCACTTATGCTACAACAGGATTATTTTCTAAAGTGAGACTTCAAAGTAAATTTTAAATGTAAGGCCAGAAAAGCCGACCATAAGCCATAGCTGACTTAGAGAATTCTTCCAGTTCAGCTATTTTTCCTTGAATATGAAATTCACTTTGAATTATAACCCTATATATGTTGGAGCTTTTAAATATGGAGATTTGTGTATGTTTTGTGCGAAAACACAGTGTAACATATACCATCTGAAATAATATGGTGGCTAAATGTATAGTTATATTGAACTGGTAAATGTTCAGTGTAGCAAAATGATATATAAAGTATGTGTAGCGGAGTAGTAGGGGTTAATCCACGGTATCTCCACAGGTAGTCAGGATAAGCAGGTAAAACACAGGTAGCGTAGTAACGATCCTTTCCTTCCAAGAACTAGACGACACATAGCTTGGAGGTCAACTGAACTTTTATTCCACAGGGACAGTATTTATGCAGTTCCCCATGCAAGGGATTTACCAACTGGTATTGCAGGGGATTTAATCAAGGGGACTGTGTGGGAAACTGACCCTGCAAGGCTATTTCCCACCATGCCCTGCTGTCCTGGAGAGATAATCACCCAAGAATGTACTATTAATTGGATTATCTCTCAGTACATCAAAATACTGCTTGTTATATAAAAATACCCAACTGACATAATATTCATGACATTTAACCGAATTACCCCTTTTTACATAGCTGGGATCTGATGAAATACCGCTCAGATCCCTGCACAATTAAATGAACGCCGTTCGAATTACAGTTTTGTATTAACAGGTATTGAAATGCACGAACAGACTGGTTACGTTAGAATACCGAAAGAACCAGTTTCCAGCGGTGTACGTGCCGTCGAGTAGCCGATTTTAATTCCAGGCACTTGACAACCAAACACCGCTGGACTTTCGTGAACAAAGATAGCCGCTGCCACGTGTTCGGTATACGAACGGCGACCACACACATAATACCTTAATTGGTTGCGGATGCATTGTATCTATCGTTAGATGGGAGACACACGACCTCCTTTGGGTGGTCTCCCATTCGGTATATTATTTGTTTCACGAACAGCGTTTAAAGTCACAGTTCGTGAAACTACCATGTGAATGCTGGTGGCTTTCATGCCGCAAGCATACGAATGCTATGGGTCTAATTATAATACGAAATACAAATACAGACATATGCAGGCAATCTTAAAGCAATAGCATCCTATACATCAAATGACCGTCTTAAGTGGCTAGGTTTGCCACAGTATGTATAAGCAAATACTACCTTAATTTCATCACAATATCAACAATAGGCCAGAGGCTCAGATTCTCCTTCTGAAGAGACAAGCTTTAGTGACTTAAAGGGACACTCCAGACCCTTAAAACACTTTAGCTTTATGTGTGAAGACTGTGTCCTCTTTGTTTCATTTTGCAAAAAGTGCAGATTTTAATAGAAATTGTCAATTTTATAAATTAACCTGTTTACACCCCTTGGCTTTCAAGCAGAAAACAGGTCCTGTTACTTCCTAGTTTGGTAGCTCAGTGGAGCTAAACTCAGAAGGCAGCGATAGCTCAGAGCACCTACCTTTCAAAGACTTCACATTTAGGGTGCATTGGGAAGTCTGTGATTGGACAAACACAGAGAGTCTGGGCGGGGTTAGAAGGGAAGTGATTGCAAAGGCAGAAATGCAGCTGGAAAGTAAAAAAGAGGACACCTCCAGGAACAAATTCTCGCTTGCTAGTCACGGGAGAGCAATGAAGGCTCTGGTGCCACCCCCTCCTCCTAGGTTTGGACTGCCTATAGGGGGGATAGTTTCTTCGCTGGGCTGATGCGCCACATACATGAAGAACACAGAGCACCCAAAACCTTGTACGCACAAAGAAATCACCCAAAAAAGGATTCTTTACTACACTATGGCAGTACCACACTGTCAAACCCATAAAAGAATGATTATTTGAATTTACTGCCAGTTGTTCCACTGTCAGGCACCAGGCTATTGCTTTTTCCAGCTGATGGCAATTAAATAATGCTTGCACCTCTGTCAGACACCACAATTTTTATTTTGCAACTATTGCATATGCCTGGGCCTGCTCTTGCTAGCCTCCTCTCTGCCTAGCCTGTCCAACACCTGCACAGATCCCCCCGCTCCCAAATACACTTTTCTTGAATACACTGCCCTCTTTCCCCCCATTCTCCCTCTTTTCATCCACCCTTCTCCCTCCCCCCGGAGCATCCTGGGCATCATATCAGTGGAGAACTGGAGATAAGTGAATTATGAAGCTGGAACATATTGGCCTCACGTAGTGACGTCGGCTTCAGCTTTGCTAAAAGACGCCAGCTAAAAAGCTCTTCATCTCCTCAGTGATAGCAAGAAGGAACAAGGCAGCGTGACACATTGGCCGCGTAATGACATCGGCATCATATAGTGACGCTTGCATTGCTGATAGATGCTGGCGCAAGCTAAATTGCAAAAAGAAGGACAAACTCCGAAATCCCCCCGGACATGAACATTTCCCTCAAAAAAAGGACATGTCGGAGGGAATCCGGACGTATGGTAACACTAACTTCAATGAAAAAAATGTGTATTTAAGTTTTCAGTTGAGGTATATATACTAAACAGTGATTTTTATTTATTTTGATAAATCAGTTTAGTATAAATTAAAAAAAAAAAAGGTAAACCACTTAATTTAGAAATAAACTTTATAAGCAATGCTTGCATCTTTAAGAGAAGATAAACTTATTTAAACCCTTATAGTGCAAAACTAAGTATCTGTTCCCATTCTGAACATTTTATAAGAGACAGCTCCAAGTGATGGTAACAATCAATCAAAGAAAGTTAGCTATGTTGGCTCATTCCATTAATTCACTGCTTCCACAGTAAGAGACACATATTTAGATGGAATCTCATTGCTAGAGCAGTAAGTGACGGTCATTAAGTAGATCAAACTGAAACATGCAAGTTCTGGGCAGGGAGAAAAAATGACTAATGCTTCTTTACTTGGATGTGTCAGCGAGATCAAAGTTTGATTGCCTTAATCTGATCTTTGCAATGGCGGTTACGGGTGCTATGTTTTGCACACTTTGAAATCTTAGAGTCTGGAAATTTCAGTACACAATTCAAATGAAATAACTCTTGATGAGCTTTTAAAGGAGTACAATGTGTTTTGGGCTCCTTTATGCTTTCTTTGTTATCTTATTTTTTGGTGCTGCTTGAGTTGGCAAATAACCAGGTGCCAGACTAGCCTTTAAATTCTATTTCGATTTAGGGCAGACTAAGTTATATACATCTTACACATCTATAAATATCAAGTAAATAAAAAAATCTCACCCCGAGTGTTACTTGCTATATGTAAATGTATAAGATGTGTAGAACTTGTCCTGGTGAAAGTTTTAAATATGAAACTGAAACATTGATCAATAAAAGTTAAGTTTTAGTTTTTTAACTAAGCCCTATAGTGCTATCAATATTTCCATTTTCTATTAATACATTTGTTGGATTCGAGCACCGGGTCTAAGCTATTTTTTTTTGTTTGAACTTCATTTGACTGGTTATATTGCCATATATATATATATATATATATATATATATATATATATATGTATATATATATATATATATATATAGTTATTTGTGTTTGTATATTTGGTGATTGGAGACTGCTCCATCACTCTGCCCACCAGACGCATATTGAGTATATTCAGTAATAATGTGCGCTCAGACCTAAGCTATCTGGGGATATGTTGCATGTCTGTATTTTATGTAATAAATGTAACCTTGTGTATTTTATGTATTTTACTGTCTTTTGCTACCATGTGTTCAATGGAGTTTTTCCTCTGTCCTTGGAGATAATCGGATTACTTCCCAATTATCTCCAGGATAGAAGACTCTGTGGAACTGGTTTTGGGCAGAAAAGCCATGCTTCATTTGGTCACAAAGGATTTTGATCTATCTTTTGAACCAATGGACCAATTTGGATGATTTTGACATATGTTTGTATTTGAAAATGTAATTTTATGTGAATGTGATGTATACTTTTAAAGTTATGAATAATGTGGAAAAACTGTATTTCTCTGCCTGTGATAATTACATTAAGCCATTGTGTAAGGTAATTGTATCACAGGCAGAGGGGAGGATTTTGTGTGGGAGTGTCTGAGTGTATTGTACGTGTTTATTGGTTGTTTTCCAAAACTCTGTGGGTGGTACTAATGTGTAAGAATGTGTATATAAGAACAATAAACCCACAGCTCTGGCTGTTCCTGCTTGACCCTCAACACGGAGCTTTGTCTCGTTCTTGGGGGGGATTTACTGTATGCTGTAAGAGGCTGATTACCAGGAGTGTAAGCCGCTTCGGTGCTTTTCCTGTTGAGCTGCTAGCAGCTATTCGTGAGGTTCCAGTTCGGGAGTTTGGAGTGCTACTTTGCATCCTGTTCGGGAGTTTGGGGTGCTGCGGTAGCTGTGCCTGTGTCTCTGGAAGGGGAAGATCTTCTAAACGGCGGTTTAACCCCTTTTATGCCTGGGGGTGCCGTTACATTCTGTATCTGTATGATATTTATAGGCACTTTAGTATATTTACTGCCAAGTTTGCAATCAACCACTACCAGAATCCTTTTTTTTTGTCGTGCTTCATGCGTAGATGTTTTTATTGACAATGCAACTGTAGTAAAAAATGTTTTTAAAGTTACAATATTAAAGGAACACTCCACGCACCATAACCACTACAGAAGGCTGTAGTGGTATATCGTGCTTGGTTTGTTCCTTTGGAGTGACCTGACACCCCCCCACCCAATGTAATTAGTCAAATTAAATTATTTTAGATTGGTTTGATTTCTTATCTGTGGTGCACTTGGCACTGTTCCCTGCCTCTTGTGGAGCCAGATGCTCTCTGCCTGAGCTAAGCCCGGCGGCCCAGAGCTTATTTCTTTGGCTGAGAGCAGACAGCTGACATTCTCCGCCAATGAATTAGCCCTGCACTGCACAGAGGTCAAATTGTTCTAAAATGGTTTGATTCAACTGACGTTTTGCTTCTCCTGCAATCACTTTTTTCTTCTGTACCCTATATCTTTTGAACTCCAATAAAAACAACATATTTAAAACTAAAATTGTTTGATTACTTACAATGGGGGGAGCCAGGTAATGCTTCTTAAAATACAATATTTATTTATTTTATGACTTATTAAAGTGCTGAGGAATATGCATTAAAGGACAACTGTCACCTCAATACTATTTTGTAACCTAATGATCATCAATTTTTGAAAGGAACTAGATTTTTTTTGTAAAATTAAGTCTATGTAAAACAAAAATAGAAAAACGAATCCCTACCTTTAGTATATGACAGGATCCTTTGTGTACCTTGGGTCATACTATCTCTGTGTCTACAGATTACTAGGAGTGAAGGGGTTCATCATTAAGGGAATCATACTATTTATTGTGCCTAGTTTTGAGAATGGCTTCTTTTTGTTCTAGGTGAGAGAGAAGAGCTGACAATAACAGCAGATAGACTAATGAATCGCACACTCACTGTGGAGGTCTCCTTAGAAACTATCCGAAACCCACAGCAGGCCACTGCCCTCCAGCATGCTACTGCAGTCATTGATGAAATTGCAAAGAAAGTGACAGACAACCTGGAGACTGGCAGGAAACAACTGATCTCCCTATATGGGGCATGTACCTCAGATATCAACCAAGGGCCGATTGATCAGAAGTTTCAGTCCATCATCATTGGATGTGCACTAGAGGATCAGAAGAAAATAAAAAGGAGACTGGAAATGCTCATCAGGAACATAGACCATTCAGAGAAGTCCATCACACTTTTAGATCAACAGAAGCAGAAGAAACATTGAATCTTGGTAATACTAGCTATACATGTAGAATGTCTGCTGGCTCACAGGCTTCCATATTAGCACATTATTCACAAAACAGTCAGGAAAGGAATACTTAAAACAATTATAAACATGCAGATAGCTTGCATAAGAAAAAAGTGATCTGTATAATGTAGTTACAGAGTTTCTATAACAAAATAGCGCTTAGAAGGAACACTGCTGACCAATACACTGTGCATATATATTCATTCTTTTCATTTTACAGAATGTATTGAATGTTACTGTACCATATTTATATGCTTCTGTTTTACCATCGTTAGAATGTGCTGCTTGTAATATGTTCAATTTAGTACACCAGTAGCCTTCACAAATTATTGTTAGTTGGTTCCTTTGAGGAAGACCATATCCATATCAGATTTGCTAAATGGTTAAAAGAGGGAGATATTTCAGTAAGGTGAAAAACATCTGTAGGATCAGACTTGGTTGGAGATTTCAATGTCATCTTCCATTGCAACATGATAAATTAACTCCTTAACTACTCATTAATAAGAATTTCCTTGGGCAGAGGTCTCAGACGCGTTGGCTATGGAGAGATGAATTTAATGCTTAATCCTCATCTCCTATCTCTCTTTATTCTAATTGAATGTACCAGTGTCATCATTTTCATAATCTGTTTTATACAGGGCCAGTTGAAGACCAGCTACTTGCACTCTGCACACCTAAAAACAAAATTGCCAACTTTGTGTGTCTGTTTCTTCCCCCAGCCCCTTTGTGTGTCTCTTTCTCACTCAGCCCTTTTGTGTGTCTTTTTTTCCCTTCCCCTCTATGGGCCTCTTTGTCGTCGTCCCCCCCCCAGCCCCTCTGTGTGTCTCTTTGTCCTTCAAGCCCCTCTTTGTGTCTATTTTCCCCTGAACCTTTGTCTTACTAGTCCCTCTTTTGTGTCTCTTTGTCCCCCCAGCCCTCTGTCTCTTTGTCCCCCAAGCCCCTTAGTTCGTGTCTTTGCTCCTTATCCCCTCTGTCCCATCTGTTTGTCCTCCCCAGTCCCTCAGTCCATCTTTGCTCTTCTAGCCCGTCTGTCCATCTCTTTGTCCTTCCCAACCTCTCTGTGTGTTTCTTTATACCCCCAACCTTTCTGTGTGTCTCTTTTTCCCCCCCATCAGCCCGCTGTGCACCATCCCTTCTGTGCGCCTCTTTGCCCCCCCCAGCGCTTCTGTGTGTTTCTATGTGCCTCCCAGCCCTTCTGTGCACCTCTTTGTTTCAACCAGTCCTTCCTCTGTGCCCACACCTTCTTCTCACTTCCTGTGCCTGCTGTTCATCTTGCGCTAAGCAGACTACGTGGAGGATCTTCTGTTTCCTCTAGCTGGTCTGACAGGAAGCTGTTCATTGCTCCCAGGTTAAAGTCAAACTGGCAGAGGATACAGAAGATCACACATGCAGTGAATGGCAGAAAGGGGAGTTCTGCGCACCAACACCACAATGACAGGCTGTAGTGGTTATGGTGCTTAGAGTACCTCTAAATTATTAAGTCGTAGTTAATGTAGATGGGAATTGCTTCTGGCCTTCTTGGTTTCTTGCTGCGTACATTAGCCTAGCAGGCCTTATGTTTGACACCTCTGCCCTTGCATGTTTGTGCTAAATATGTGTCAGACCTTCTTCTATGTGTTTGTAATATAGAATGATTCTCTGCAAATAAAACACTGTTTCAATGCCCATCTTAATGCATTAATCTGTATACAGAAATCTCCACTTTTGGATTCAAGTAAAAAATTGTAAATAAAAAGAAAAAACAACTTTTGATATTCTGTGGTATTTGTTAATAATATCCTACTTCATAAAGTTGTGATTAGCATTGTAATTTAGTCTCAAACATATTACATCTTTTGGTACTGATTCCTATCCTCCCTTCAGTCTTAGCGGCTGTGTTGCATAGATATGAGATATATTATAAGATTGCATAGAACATTGACAGCAGCAAGAAACATAATGATTATAGGATGGCAGTTGACACTTGTGGATTTCAGAAAACCCACAGTATTGAATAAAAAAATAAAATTATTTCTCATAAACTAAAGCGATGTCAGCATTGCAATAATGAAGACTATGACCACTCCAATATTGCATAGCAGCCTATAATAATAAAGTGGACTTTTACTCCCAGTGTGTGAAACATGCCCTGCTGTTTTTTGGGGCCATTAGCTGTATACATTTACAATCTACAGCACTTCCCCCCTTCCTCTTGCTGTCTCTACTCAGGCTGTCATGATGAGTTTCAGTGCTTTTCTTTCAGTCCCTGGAGAGGTTATCTGCTGTAGTTTACAGATCTGCTGATCAGCTCCGTCCTCCCACCCAACTGCACTGTGACACAGATACATGTCAAAGGCTGTAAAATGGGTCTGAGTGTTAGGCTTGGGAAATATATAGGGGTAAGTCACAGAGTTCAGGGACAATAAGTGAGGAATTTAAATTACTTTATTAGTTATTACTCAGTGCCATATGCTTGTCGCATGTGCACATATGGCATAACTGGAGAAAATTCTGAATTAACATCCACAAGTGCAAAATGTCTCCATTAGATGCCCAAGCACACGTGTGTGCACCAAAGGTCATAATGCACATACCAATAAGGTCCTATCACAGGCTTCCATATTAACCCATTAAGGAAATAACTTCAGAAATAAAAGGGAATCATGACGAAATATTTCCTTCATGTGTCCTTAAGGGGTTAATATTTCCAAATCTACAGCTATGGAACTTGGATCAGCATTCCTCACATAGACTCACCCTTACACCAATTCATTTAGAAAAATATCAGCATATGTAGGACCTGGAATCTAAAAAACCCTTCACCGGATCGGCATGGTCATGAGACAGAGCTTATCAACGTGGTGAGGTGCATCCCCAGGCATTCTCTTGCCATGCTGTTTTAGTCCACCTTCCATGCCTATCTCCACCTGGCCTTCTGTTGGATGCCGTCTTCTTCAGGCTGGAGCCCCTTTATAGCTCTGCCTCCTTTAGTTGCATTAGTGACGTGAACATTCTTGCTTCATCACATTGACGATACAAACGCATTTTTTTGTGTCACATGGGTAGAACTGACCATGTGACTGACATCCTAAGGCTATTTAAACACTTATTTTATTTATTTTGCATTTTATCATATCAACAAATTGACACATATGGAGTACAACAGGAATTGGTTACAGACATCGGTATTCCTCATATACAGTCCTGTTACACAATGCTTGTCTCCTTCTTTACTGACTTGTTGATTGTTTAACAGTATAACCAAGATAGGGTGTAAATAAGGGTAGAGGGGGGGAGGAGGGGAAGGGGGTCCAGGAGAAGCGGTGGTGTTCTCTAGAGATCATTTAATGTCTGAGTATTGCAGTTACCTTATATAGTTGCTCTGTGCCTGAGCAATAACCTAATGCCGTTCTTAGATACATTGCATGGGTGCATACATTTCTTATTGCGTGGTCTATTGAACAGGTCTTCCCCATTTGGATGGTCTCAGCTGTCGGAGTGGTTTATGTGACTCGAACTTAAGAAGTGAATCTGCATTGGACCCAACTCTACGTAGTTGCTATGTGTTTCTTCCATAGCTCCCAGGCTGCCGCTATAAATGGTTTTGGTGGCGTATTTTTCCGCGCCATTAGCTCGTATTGTTTTGTTAGCTGTAATGCTGTTATGCATTGAGCCATTTTCGGTGGTTCTGGGTCACGCCACTGTCTACTAATGGTTTGGAGGGCTGCTACTATGATATGATATATGAGATATGTGTGGGTTCTACGTAGGCCTTTTGGAAATAATTGTAGTAAGTATATTTCGGGGGAATGCTGGAGGTCGACTCCTGTGGTCTCCCGTATCATGGCGGTGATGTCTAGCCAGAATTGCTTCAATTTCGGGCATGACCACCAAATATGCAGCATAGAGCCCTTGTCGCTTAGGCAGCGCCAGCATGTGTCTGGTATGTTTGGGTTGCCTTTCTTAAGGCGCACTGGTACCATGTACCATCTGTACAAAATTTTCCGTGTGATTTCCATATGGGAGGCACACAGTGAGAGGTTCTTATGTGCCCGGAAAATGTGGGCCCATTGGCTCTCCGTTATGTGGTTCGGTATTTCTCGATCCCATGCTTTTGTAAATGTATGGACTGGGGTTGCTGCTGTGGTGCTGTATATTGCATAGACCAGGGATATTAGTTTCTTACGCGGTTGTAAGTTAAGGCTGATTTTTTCCACCTCCGTCAGCTGAAGACCATTTACAGTATGGTACGAGCATATTTTTTGCGAGTTAAGCCAAGACTTAAGTTGCATATACATGAAGAGGGCTGTTTTGGGTACCCCGTATTGTGTTTGGACCTCAGCAAATGAGATCAGTGCCAAGCCTTGGCACAGGTGGAAGAGGTGTGTGATGTTGTGGGTGTGCCATATTTTGGAGTTAAATCCTGGTATAAGCAGGGCTAGTGTTTCAATGGGTGTTGCCAGGGAGATGCCCCCTTTTGTTATATACTTGTCCCCAAATTGGTCCCAGATCTGTAGTGTGAATTTCGTGGTAGGGAGCATGTCCTTGTGTTTTGGTCTTAGTTTTCTAGACATCCAGGCTAGGGTGAAGTTGTTGGTATAGAACGCTTCCAGCTGCACCCATTGCGGGGGTTTGGCGTTGCCGCTAACATGTAGCACTTGGCTTAGAACGGCTGCTTTGTGATAGTTTGTTATGTTTGGTAGACTCATGCCTCCTAGCGAGAATGGTTTATGTAGGGTGGCTTTCGCGATTCTGGGTCTGGCATTATTCCATATGAATGTGTTAATCAGTTTCTGTAGTTCGCGTAGATAGCTGTTGGGTACCACCAGGTGGATAGTTCTGAATAGGTATTGTATTCTCGGGAGGAGTAGCATTTTTGCTGCTGCTATCCTGCCTACCCATGAGATAAATTTCCCTTTCCAACTATGTATAAGGTTTTTGAGCTCTGTGAGGAGTGGTGTGTAGTTTGCTTTGTGGATACCTGCTAGGGACTTTGT